AATAATTCAGCTTTCAATAGGTTTTAATATAATTTGAAGAATCTAACATCTTTTCTAGACTGTGAAGACCCACTATTGGTATTTTTATGACAGATGAAGCAGTGAAATTTATATTCAAAGAATTTTTACATTCGGTCATTCTAAACTGTTAATATTTATTTTTATGTAAGGACCTATGCAAATTTTGAAGCTGACAGGCATTTGTAATTGTTTCGAAGCCATAGGATTTCTTTTTCCTATTAGATATGCCTAACCAAGATAGGGCATTGTGCTACAAAACAGGAGAAAGGCAGAATTAGGAAATGGATTTTGGAATGAAATTAAAGCGAGATTCTCTATGTATTAAGCTCTGTGCACTGTATGGCTTTAAAAAAAAAAAAAAAAAAAGAGGTTATTTAGAAAAGAACATTCCTTTGCTATGATTTATTCCATGTGCATTATCTAGCTCCATTACTGAAGTTAAATATTTGAAAGTTGCATTACTTTTTCCAATGTATTTGAGGACTGGTGAGGAGCTCACTCTCCTATACTTTTTCAAGAAACAGGATAGTTGGATGTTTGCGATGCCACTCAGTCTTCTTGGAAGAAAAAAATGAGGGATGGAGGGTAAATATCAAGTAATTTGTGTCAGGTGTATGCTCCAAATGAAAGTCCATCAATCATTTTTGGCCCTTTAGTGCAATGATTATCATTTCAAAGACGCAGGAGGACATTAAAGATAATGGCTTTTCTGTTGTCTATTATCTCTAACAGACTTCACATAATTATTAACATGTGTTCCCATTTAAAAAGAGTGTCAATATTTTGAGTGAATTGCATTTTTTTTAACTGAAAGGGATATGTCTGTCAGCAAGTTTTTTGTCCATCTAACTAAATGAGGAATTTAAATTAATGAACTTTGTGTTTCCGCAAGAAGAGCAGTTATTGCAGAAAATGTTGGATGCTTTGCAAGGTTGAAACACGACTGTCTTCAACATTCTGCATAAGATAATAAACAGCATGCAAACTTAAGTAAAAGTAGCAGAATGCTAGTGCACACTCTTACAAGGCACTCTCCCTTTCTTTTTATGATTTGGGCTGTGCTGAGAAGAATGAATACGGCATTTCTTACTTACCGCAGAGCTCCTCTGTTGTGTAGGATGGGAAAAGTATCCATGAGGGGTAAACATCTATCTTTGTGGTTCTGTTTGTTTTTATGGTTTTGGTAGGAATAAAGAAAATGAATTAAGTTTTTTGCCAGCTTTTTTTTTTTTTTTTTTTTTTTTTACCACTTTTGTCTTGAAACATTGCCAGTTGCTTGACATTTAGAAAATGGATAAAAAAAAATTTCTTCATCCGATAGATGAAGTTAGAGAAGTTTAGTTAGAAATACACATCTTAAAATACTAAAAACATGGATAAGATCTTAAACTGATTCATCCAAGTAAATATAAAATAGTTAAATATGGCTCTTCTTTGATAAGGCATAATATATGGTCTTAAGGTTCTGAAATTTTATTGGTAGTCTTGGGGTGTTTATGTAAAAATGCTGGAGGGACATATTTGCTTCTTGTGCAGGATATTCCTCCTCCATTTGAACAGGGTTTCAGCAGGCTACTTATGGGTCCAGGCTATTGACTTCACTATAAAAGTTAATGAGAAGGAATGAAGGAAAACACTCTGATATCTAGAACAGCTTTTTAGCTTATGGTTTCTCTCACAAAATTTAAATATTATGGAAAGAATCCTTGCACCAGCAGGAGGAAGGATTTAGCTCTTAATCACTAAAGTAAACTGAATCTGTGCTGCACCAGTAAGTGTCGTGCACAGAATGTAGACATTAAACTTAGACAAAAGTGGGTCTGCCATATAATATTGAATGAAATATGTTTCTTGCTACACTAGAGAAACACATTTTAAGAGGAATGACAGATTACTTTATGAATGTATTGAAGCTTCACTATGTCTCTACTTTTACATTGTATGATAAATATTGAAAGGTATAAAAGAGACACTTGTCTAAAGCAGATCAACTAACTTAATAATGTTAAAAAACATTCTGGGAACACCACATTGAGCAAATAATGTTACGGGTCAGTGAATTAAATGAACTAGCATTGGCACTTACAGTTTTGTCCCTGAGCCATTAGATGCTGCATCCATTACACCGACACATTCATCGTCTGGGAGCGGCAGGCAGCTGGCAAACCCTGCCAGCTGGCATAGCAGCATCAGCTGCCGTCAGCTGGATCTTAGCTGCTTGCCTGTCACTGCCAGCTAAAAGCAAGTCACAATATGCTGAGAGGTGAGCAGTGATTTGTCTTTTAAAAGCATAGACTAAATAGTTCAATGCAGTCTTTACAAACTTCCATTTTATTTGCCTTATGGTTTTTATGAGCTGGAAAACTGAAGAATTTTTTGTATCTCCTTTCCATTTAGAATTCATACACACATGTAATTCCCTTCAGTGGCTCCTCCAGAATAAGCATTATTTGGTGTGAAATGGCTATTTTGGACAATATGTTCTGGTTTAGTGCTGATTTTTCTAGATGCACATTAGTTTTAAAGTTTGTAACAAAAGTCCTGTATAATTTCCCAATATTATGACTGCCCAGTTTGAGCAATTCTGTTGTCTTATTTCTATTTGCTCTCTAATGAATAAAATATTAGCCTCCATTTAGAGATTTCACGTTGTTGAAGCCATTTCAGGTAGTCAGAGTCTAGTTTGATGGCTGGTAATTGTGACCATGTGTACATTTGTCTAAAATGCCTGTTAATATACTGTTGGTTGGATGTTTTAAAACATGAATCTTTACTTTAGCTTTTAAAATTATAGGAGCTCTTCTCTAAATTTACTGTACTAGTCTTCTAAGGAGTAAGTCTTGCTAAGCAATGGAAGTTAGTTTGATTACATTTAATAATATTTTAGCATTTAAAAATAACAGATTTATTTGAAATGTCATACTGTCTATAACGGCTGTAGCCTGGAACGATTTTGTCTCAAACTAGGCATATCTAAATAGGGTTTATGACAACCTATGAATTTGCCCCTGAACAAGGTCAACTTGGAGGTCAGTGAATGCAATACAAATTGCATACTAGTCAAGCCTGTAATTATCCCTGTACGAAGTTAATGTGTTGAGGAGCTCAGCAAATTCACTTGAAGTTTCAGAAATGGCCATGATAAACTGAGTAGTTACTTATAGTAGTTACTCTGAAAAATTGCAGTTAACAGGATGAAGTACTTAGAGAGTGTTCATTTCTTGTAACTTGTAGCCAAGTCACCATGTATAATTATGTATTCTGAGAGTTAGGGGCCTGATTTTGTTTTTTCATTTGAAGAAAATATTTTAAATAGTGTAAAAACAGTATTCCTTTGTTGATGTCCAGTATAATTGCTGCAAATTTAACCTTCAAAGTCTCAAATTCCCAATTTTGGCAGATAATATGTGACATCCATTCTAACATAATTTCATTAAATTAAGTTTCTACCAAAGACATAAAACAAGATTTTTGTCTGATTTTTGTTGAAGACAAAAGCCTGTATTTGTACTTACTCATATCCTGTCCAATTTCACAACCCTACAAGTAGTAACTATGTTTTTTTTCTGGAAAAAATGTTACTATTGCTTCTCTTTTTCCTGTATTTTCAGCTACAACTTCTATATAGGTGAATAACTAGGTAGCAGCACAGTTAAATGTTCCTAAGTCTTATAAAACCCATGGGAAACGTTTAAATTAGTATGAGTTTTATCATTTAGCTGTCTGTAATGTGAACATCTGTAACAATATCGGAGGGAAAGGAAACTGTTAGCAAAGTAGCATTTGTTCATTTGCATTACAAATTAAGCCAGCTGCTAGAATATGAACGTTTTCTTATTTTCAAGAACTTCACGTCTGTGTTGCATTTTGTGATGTGATTATCTTATCTTGCTTAAAAAATAAATCAAAATTGCACATACAAATAGTGCAATCACGATGGGGAAATTTTGTTCAGAATACAAGTTTCACATATCATATCTGTCTCTTCTGACATCTGAACTACATTTCTAAAATCCTGACAGTTTTCCTGTATGACTTTATTTATTTTACTGATCAATATCAGTATCACTAATTTTAATCAGCAGGTTAATCAGCATAACTTCCTCAAGGTTTCCCTGATCTGATTTCCTTCTCTTCTCTCCACTCAACATCTGAAAGATTACAGCCTAAATGTTAGTTATTATACTAACAAGTATCTGTTACCCAAACTATGAACAAAACTCTAATTCATTTGGATTGTCAAAGGGGAGGAAGAAGCACAGTCAGACACAAGTGAAAGGAATCCTTTCAATAACCCATACTGATCCAGAAGGAGTGCTGGGAAGTGCACGAGAAAACATATCTCCAATTCTCTTTGGTCAAGAGATGAATCTCTGTCAAACAGAGTAAAATGTACTCTTACTGAAAAATCAACTCTGAGATAAACGAAGGCATCTGTAATGTACTCTGAGTATCTAAAGAATACTCTGAGAGACTGGTCAGGTACTGAAATGGGCTGCCCAGGGAGATGGTTGGATCACAGTCCCTGGAGGTGTTCAAGAAACATTTAGATGTTGTACTAATAGACATGATTTTAGTGGGGAAATATTGGTAATACGTGGATGGTTGGACTGGATGATCTTAGAAGTCTTTTCCAAACTTGGTAATTTGATGATTCTATGATACCTTAGTTTTGCCCCAGTGAGCTTAAGGAGACGGGTTAAAAACTATCTTCCAGAATAAGGATTTGATGCACTTTCAGTTTTACTTCTTAATAGTGTGCTTCAAGTAAGAGCTGATGTGGTGAGAATTAAAGCTTACATATATCAGGTATTCATTAAAGTGCCAAGCTCAAGATGAGATAGACTCTACTGCTTCATTTATTAAATATGAACGTTTCGAGAAACATTCAATTTAACTCAAAGTTATGTGAGTTTATGGGAATGAAGAATCTGCAGAATGTTTATTTGATCTCAGATAATTTTGAATTATCTTTCTAGATTATCAAATTGTTGGATGGAAAGCGATCACAAACTGTGGGAATTTTAATATCCAGTTTGCACCTGGAGATGAAGGATATTCAACAAGGTAAGCAGTATGTATGATATATACATAGTATCATACATTGTATATACATTGTATACTATAATGTATGATATATACATAGATTTTTTCTCATGGGACCACTCAGAGAATTTCTTACAGTATGTACTTCAAGTATGGTCCCCTTTATTGTATCTGAAGAATTCTTCTTCCAGCATATTCCTGTATAGGTAAAAGTTTCAACTAAATAACCAGAAGCAAATTTTGGTACAACTCCTGTCCCTTTTCAGTTCATATGTCACTTTCAGTACAGTGTTTTCTCAAGGTGGTTCCATATTCCTGCACACCTTTTGCTTAAGCAAGTTTCACATGGACAAAAACTCAATATTGGTTTTCTATACAAGTTTTTAGGACTTTAAACATGCTTGTATGCGTTTGTTGAATATTTGCATTTTGTTTCATTAGCAACATGAAATGCACATTTGAAACTGATGCAGCTACCATGCAGCAATCAAGAAGATAATTACTGCATGGCATTTTTGAAAGCATTGGGCTACTCGGTGTATAAATTCCATCACTGGTAGAAATTATCTGAGTTTGGCACTACAACTGTAGAGAAATGAAGATTTTTCAGAACCCTGGGGTAATTCAGATTCTGCTTATGTTCTGGATTTTAAAAGATATTGTTTAAGGATAATGTTTATTTCTTTTTCACATTAAAAAAAAAGAAAATATCCACCATTTAAAACAACTGCTGGAAGAATTCAAGTTGATGTCTCCTTTTTGCTATTGTTTTCCTTCCATCACATGCAAATGCTGAGTAGAGTGTTGAGATGCTGCTGGCATTGATTATTGTTAATTTCAGAAGAGCCTTTGAGCATCTAACACTTTAAAAGCACAAGGGCTAACAGATGGCTTTTGGATTGGAGGGGAAAAAAGAAGAAGAAACAACTTTATGCCTGCCAGTATTGTGTGAAAGGTATTAGAATGAGATGGAGAAAAAATATTAAATATTAAAGATCTGAATAATTTACCGTCAGGAATTATAGCAGCATAGGATAGGATAGCAACTGCAATATAAAAACAGGGTAGTTCTTATAGTATTCAGAAAGGCTTTCTGTTTTCCATGCCATTATGTTCTCCTAAAATAAGGCATTGTGAATGCAACATACATATCTGTAGCTATCTGTCAGTTTGCCATTCTTCTGCAGCTTTTGAAGTCCTCAGGCCAATTTATGCCCAATTTAAGATAAAAGCATAAATATTCAAAATGTTTTTATGTATATACACTAGCATTTAAGTTTGAATAAGCAATGAACTTTTGAAGCTTTCCTCTTTGCTGTGTATGCAGAGCATTGTGGAGCTGTTTGAGTGCACAGCGGTGAGCTAGTTAAAACTACAGCTCCCTGAACTGTGTACAGCGTATGGGCTGTTTCTGTCTGCAGAACAGAACTACTCTGATTGTAGTTGTAGACACTGTTAATATAGTCCCACAAGTTAAATGAAAATTAGAGTGTTGGTAGAAAAGAGAAACGGAAACAAGTGCTGCCACTGAAGAAAAGTTTGTAACTCATCACCCTCTCTATTCTGAGAGGTAGCAAATGACTGGCCTGTCACCACGTGTGTTGCTCAAGGCACCAATAGGATATGCAGCTGCTTGGTTATGGGAACAGCTAGGAGATTAAAAAAAAAAGGGGGGGGGGAGGGGATTTGGGAATACAGCTTATGGACATCTAAAGAAAAAATAGGAAATATTCAAACTAGTATGAATGGCTCTAATCGAGATCTGTGGATAGATAGAGGTGTAGATTCTGTCTTGGGAACAGACTCAAGGAAAGCATCTACATCTGTTCTGTAGAAAGAACCTTTAGAAATGTGTACTATAATGAAGACAACAGTATATGTAATGCTTCTAGTGTCTACTTATCCCATATTATCTGTTTAATTTAGTCTCTATGAAGTCCTGTCTATTGGCAGACAAATTCTTTAAGAGCTGCTATAGTTAGTAACAAAAACAGGCCATGATACACTCTTGACAACATTTTACCCAAAAAAGAATATTATCATTTGGTACAGAATGTCAAAAGGTGGTTGTTTTGGATTATTTTATTATTATTATTTTTAGAAAGTAGAGTTAAAAATGGTTACCTTTGAGAAACTTGATAATTAAGCACTCATCCCTCTTTTCAAACCACATTACATTGCATAATTTGGTACACAAGAGGGAGAGAGAAGTTACTTGTCTTTTCCAGCTTGCAACAGAGAATTAAAAAACTTGAAAGAAATGGAATTGGAATGCCAAAAAAATAAAAAAAAAGGTACCTAATTTTATTTCAAGTTGTTTTGACCATGTTTCTTAAAAATCCATGTAGAAATGAATTTACTGTCTATAACGGACTAAGTGGCAGTTCTAGGAAAACTGTCCCCAAATTACTTAGTGAAGAATTGCGATATGCACACAGAGGAATGCAAAAATTAGAGAATCGCGAGGAAAACAAGAATAGTCACAAGAAAAAAAAATATGTATTTCCCTAAAATGCTGTGGGACTTCTGCATTTGTAGGAATATTCTCTCAGACTGGAGTAAATAGCTTCACAGCATATTCTTTAGATAGCTCAGCAGTGCAAAACAAATCAGTGGCCATATCTGGCACACAGATGTTTCACTTCGCATTTGATAATGAGCCAGATGCCACAGTTTAGGAAGAGAATCTCTCACACGTGTTTGTTTGAGGGAATGAAGTTCATCCTTTGCAGATAAATTTAAATTCTTGCTGTATCTGAGTATCATCTAGGGAGAAGACAGGGTAAAATTGAATCAACATTTTGTGTAGTACTGGCACTTATATGATGCAGAAGGAAAGTTTATGTTACTATGCTGCACCTGTCAAGATACACAGTATTTAGTAGGGGGAAGAGGAAGAGTAATCCTTCCCACCTTGTGTTGCAATATTCTGAGAACACTAACAAATTTTAATGATGAATCTGGTACTGAAGATGGTAATATAGTTTCTTGTTAGACTACTATTAATAATATTATTTTCTTGAGCCAAAGAAACAGACAGAATATCTGTCTGTCTCAGTAAGCTTTATTGAATCTGCATTTATATTTTAAAATCAAATAGAGATAATAATAAAGTTGTGCATAGGCTTGATATTATTATTTTGAAGTCATTGTTTCTGTGGTGTTGTTTTTTTTTTTTTTTTTTTTTTAGAGATGATGAATAGTGGAAATCAGCTGTTAGGTGTGGAACATGCTATAATATTACACATTGACAGTAGTATAACTCCTTTTCACATCCGTGTACTTCTGCCTTACTTTTTCTGTCATTGTTCAGCTGAAACACAACAGCTTGAGAGACAAACTTGTGTCTCAAGACTACTTGTGTGGCTTTGCTGTTAAAATATTATGACTCACTCCATAGTGAGAAGATTCAGTTTTGTTTCTAATGGGAAATACTGTTTATAAATGTATGCAAAGACCCTCTGTAGGTCCCAACCGCTTATTGACCAATGTTCCATTACTCAAGCAGTTCCCTGTGTAGTAGTCAGTAAGTGGCTGGGACCCACAGAGGATCTTTGCATACATGTATAATCAGTATTTCCCATTAGCAATAGCAGTAGACTAGAAAGCAAATAATAATAATCTTTTCTGTAATTTAGGTCATCTGGGCTGACTTCCCATGATAGTTGTTCAGGAGGACAGTCACAAAATTGAGAGGCAGCCCAGATGAAAAACAGTTTTAGTAACAGAAAGCAGGATGTAGATAAAATTTAGATGCCTGTGTTGAAAAGAGTGATTCTCTCAAATCAATCCCTACTCCCATAATACCTACTTTTTTTTTTTCACTAAACTTGCAGAGCACCAGAAGTTCTGCTTCTGTGTATTGCTGGTAATAATTCATTGTCTAATACCTCCTATTTCCATTAGAACAGATTAATTAGCTGTTCTTACATACTGGCATGTTTTCTTAGGGACCAAATCAATGAAATGCAATGGATCACAAAAGATGCATGCTTTATAATCCATTACACTATTTGTGACTAAAAAGTGCTGTTTTAATTCATGCAAAACAGCTGCAGGCTTTGCTTGCACATTTGCCCAGGGAAATGTTCAATGTAGTAGCACTTTAATGGTGCCAGAACTTAGCTTGTATGGCAAAGAAAAGAGAAAGTTGAAGACTGATCTTTGGCATTATGACTAAATGTCATAGTGACTAAAAAATAATTTTTATTTCCTAGGCTTTAAGCAATTAAGTGTCATGACTAAGATTCTATGTATTAAATCAGAAGAGCACTGGACAACCTATGATAGCATGTATGGAGACCTAGTGTGTTTATTGTGCATTTGAAACATACTTGTGTTCACAGATAATGTGAACTATGCAGAGACACATTATGCTTTGAAGATAGTAGAGAACATAAATCACATTTAGATGGAATGGATTAAAATCGATTTTGTTACAAAACCTGGCTTGTGCCGTCTGCTTTTGTATATTTGTCTTTATGGGAAATTCTGGTGATGGACAATGCAAGTAACTGCTATGCCAATATACTTCAATATTTTTTCATGTTGCAGGGGACCAATTATCTAGAAAGAGCACGATTATAGTACTGTTGTGCAATGGTAGTCTTCTATGTAGTCTTCCTTCACTGAGAGGTCATGCCAGTTTATATAACTGGGCTACATATCCTGCATATTCCTGATGCAATATATGGCTTATGGCACATCTAAGCTGTAAAGAACAGTATCATTTTTAATCAGGCAGTTTTCTCAACACCCCATGGTCTATCTGTGCCTTAAATGCACCGTGCAAAATATTCTTCCAGAGCAAGTCTAATCTGCAAACCTTAGTGTGCTCAGAATTTCTGAATCCCCACCTGTGTTTTAAGCATATCACGTGGCACAAATGACTTCATAATTCTTTTCCTCCTTATATTTTGAAAATATCTCTGTTCAAGGATAGATGCTTTTGGAGTCTTTCTTACTTGTACTAAATGAAAAGAATGCTAGGACATTTCACCTAAAGCATTTGTGAAATGGGAACAAAGATTTATAAAAGTTAAAACTGTTCTGAAATTGTGTGACTTTTTCCTCTATACAGAATACATGCTTTCTATGCATTCTATATATTATGTACAAAGCACAGAGATGACTCCATACCCATCTCAGAAGCAGGGAAGTAATTTCCTTTAAAAGTTGTTTTCTTTGTTCTGGAAAATTCACAACATATGTTTTTGTGCATCTGCCTTGGGCATCCAGTCTAATGTGGGTAGGCTAACTTTAGTGCCAGAGTCTTTTGCTCGCGTCTTCTTGCTTGCAGCAGTTGCGTTTTCTTACTCTTCCAAAGCTACAGCTTGCATGTAGTGCTTCTTAGTACTGTGTATTTTAATGTTTTTGTGTTACATTATAGTTAAATGTTGGAGAAAATCTTTAAATGAGTTCAAAACACCAAATCAGTCAGAAGTAAACTGGAACAATTTTGATATTTTAGGCAGTTTTGCAAAACGGGTATTTCTATTTAGCTGTCACAATCCCTTTCTAGTTGACTAGATCAGTAACATTTTCATTTAGCTGTCCAGGTGATAGGCTTCATGTTCACATGATATTAAGCCTTACTGTGCAGAATATAGTACATTAAAAAGTCAGGTACTTCAGGCAAATGAATGAAATTTTGTCAAGCGCTTTTTATTAAAATAGCATATTTCTGTTCTATCATTAGAGGTCAGTTAAGATAAATTCTTCATATTTCATAGTTTAATTGTCATTTTAAGTGTTTTAATACTGCTAAGTATATGTAAGTTCTGTCATCAGGAATTAAATCCTGATTTAACTGAAATGTGCATAATAGGAGTGAGGCTGTATATCAGAGACAGTCTTAAGACTGTTGGCATTTAAGCAAGTTAAGAAGAGATACCTTTTTATGTTTGATCTTTAAGATCTACTTTTGTATGTAGACTGCAGACAGTATGCTTTAAGTTCTCAGCTTTTCTTTGGTTTACATTTTTGAAGTGATAAAATAGAGTATGTGAAAAATCTGTGCTGGTAGGGAATCTGTTTTTTACAGTTAGATACGTTTTTAAAAGAGTCTGTTAAAGCCTTTGGTAAAAGTTTATGTTTGAAGCAATACTCTTAGTATGTGAAATGTAGTTGGCAAGTATTTTTATGTGTGCTTGTTAGTTTGAATGCATGATGCAGATCTGTTTTTTGTCCTAGCTGACGGTTATTATATCCTAATGGGTGCAACCCTGCACTAATGATCCTTGTGTATATAAATTCTTCTTGTTGTGAGCAGACACCATAGGCCACATAAAAATGTTTGCCTCAATTTCCCTGCAAGAAAGGATCTCAGAAACCAGACTTGGCCAAGTAACAGATTTTTTAAAGGTAGAGGAACCCAATAAAATTACCAGCTTTTCACAGCATGAGTCTACTTCCTTTTGACATATTGTGAGGTGTAGGTGAAATATTCTAACTGAACTGACAGTGTAAGGAAGACAGCTAACTAGAAAGCAAGATAAAAGTAAAAAACACCAATGATGATTGATATTGTAATCGCTATTAATTGTTTTGGAGCCTCTTTTGTAGATTTGTGATAATTCACCTTTATTACTTACACTTATATGAGTCTTGATATAATGAAATGTAATACATTTAAGTGTCATGATTAAATTCACAGTATCTGGAAGAGGGTTTTGAAAACTTATTTTATCTGCATATTCATATTAATTTTTAATTATATTAAAATACACATGATTAAAGCTTGGCTTTGTTTTTAACTGAAAAAATAAGAAGTTTTCTTTCAGTTCTAAGAAAAGAAAGTAAAATAATTAGTTTCTTTGATCTAGTGTAATAGGCTTTTTTCATCTGCCCCAAAGTTAATTTACACAGCATACTGTGAATGTACTGCACACGCTTATTTTAAGAATATGAAGAATATCAAGACACCTGTGAATTGGGGGGATTCCTTCCAGCTTTTAAAATCAATGTGCGCGTGGGTTTGTTTTTTTTTTTAAATGACCAATTTTTGTAATTTTACATTTTCATTTTTGTGTTCCGCAACAAATGCATTTTATGTTAAGCTTGATCAGCTTGAGTGTAAAGAGCTAGAAGGACAAAAGGAAAGAAAGATTAAATAAATGAGTCTGCTGTAGATTTTGGCAGTACTTCTGACTTTTTGGAATTGTGACCCTACATGTAGTAACATCCTGAGATGTCAAACTATCATTGAATTAATACAGCTAGATTTTTAACTGTGCCCCATCTGCACGGGTATTGCCAGTAATGTGCTAACTTATTAGATTCCATTTTACTGGATTAATTTCAATCATTTTGGCATAGAAAACAGTTTCTCATGTCAGTTGGAACCAACACTGTTTTCTTAGATCCGTTGTTAAGGACCGAAGTGTTAATCAGAATTTAGCACTTTGTGATTTGGGAGCCTTTTTTGATAGATGTGTGACAGTTAGATGTACAAATCTTGATGTTCTTATTGTGCCTTTTTGTTGTTGTTTTTTTTTTTTTTTCCAAACTTTTTGCTAATCCTAATAGTTCTGTACTTAAAAGATTTATTCTTTCTTATGTTTTGCATTTCTATTATTAGTTAAACTTATCTCCTATTAGATGCTTTTCTGAACAACTCAGTAATAATATTTTTTTCTTCATAAGCAGATTTCAGAGTACCCCAAAATAGGATGTAGAGAAACCACAATAGAAAAATGTTGAACTAAATATATGTATTTAAAAGTCCTAAAAATTAAATGTATTAGACTGTGAAATCCATTTTCCAATAGTTTTTCCAGTTTCTTTGGTTCTATTAATATTTCATTGGATAATGCAAAGGATAATTAAATTTGTGAACTGTCTTGCTAGGGCCAACAGATGATCTCATAGATTCAGTCAATAATTATTTTTCTTTATAAACAGAATTTGGTTTAGCTCTGTAGCTTGGGTTTTATGTTTGGTTATGCTCTTGGGGTTTCTTCAACCTTTGAAATAAGACAAAAATAGCTCAGGATAGTGCTGGTCTTTTCCCCTGATATTGCCTCCTTCCACATAATTCTTTACTTCTAACCAAGAGGTAAAGTCAACAGATTGAATCATAACTGACAGGCAAAATTTTAAAGCATTCTAAATGTCACTGGACCTTTTAATAAAATTAATTAGTCTGACACAGAGAAAATTTACTAGCCAGCTGGTTAATTTCACAATATAAAATCATGGGATAGATGGAAAAGCAGGCGAAAGCTTATTACTTTTAAATAATTATTTAAAGATGTGTTCCTTGGCCCTTTTGAACATGGATTGTGAATACGGCTAGAACTTTTAAAATCTTCTAAATTCACAAGTAGTCAAGTTTCCCTGAAGAAATCTAGTCTTGTTGAAACTTCAAGTTACCAAGTACTTGAGAAAGAATGTGTCTCTGATTTTGCAGAAAACTGGTGAAGGCCTTAATCTTGATTTTTTTTTTTATTTTCTTTTTTATCAGTGTTCCCAGTAACACTTAAACATAGATCAGTTGTTTGGAAATTGTGCCTAATCCCTTTATGAATTCTGATGAAATGGTGCTCCAGATAAGTAAGACATCCAAAAGTATTCGTCTGCCATTGTGCATATTTTAGCTTATGGGAATTCTGCACTAAAGAGCACCAAGTGCCAATACTTTTGCCTAAACTGTAGTGGAATCTGCAAATATTAGAAGCACCTAATACTGTATAATCCAAATGTAGTAGCACTTGGAAGTAATTTGGTAATGGGGATTAATTTGTTGTTGGAAAGTACACTTTAGGCGTCTGCATAAGATTTAGAAATCTTTATCTGGAAATTTTCTTGTAGGTAATTTTCTGATGGATGAAGTTAACTCAAATGTGAAATTCTCTGTGAAGATAGTTTAAAATCTGTAATACAATCTAAATTTTCTTGCAAGGTTATCTACTTGTCTAAATCCCAAGACTGCTAGCTGCAAGATAAACAGATCTCCCAGTTTTCATAATTCTGATTCCCATGCACACAGGGACAATTTAAATGTCCCAACTCAGTTCCTTTCCATCCAGCCTTCTATGGTACTGTGAAATCTGTGCTGCTCATTGTCTGATATCTAGTGTTCCCAGACTGGCCAGCCACACAAGAAGCTGAACACTTGGCAGGTTGTAGCTTTGACTGCTGAATGTACTGGAGAGTAGAACTCCATTCTCCTGGGACAGTTTATGATAAGTTCTTGTCTGAGTGCTGCAATTTAAAATCAGAACGAAAATGCAATTTGAAAGTAGTAAGATATTAACTGGACATAAATATGTCCTTTAAGTAGGTCAGATCTCTTTCATATTTTTCAGGAAACAAGATTGAATTTGCAGTATGTTTTCTACCAACTAATTTGTGATTGTATCCCATACAGCTATTCTGTGTGTTGATGACTCCGTAGTAGATTTGGAAACACTGGAAGCGCTATATGAAAATGTAAGTAGGTTGAGATATGCCAGTGGTTAATCACCATATCTTTCAGAAATTCAGATATGCAGCAAGTTAAGTTTTATTTTAAGTTGTAGTTTTTGACCAGAGACCTTATGTAGGACAAGTCTTTAAGGAGTTTAACAATAATTGGATAGGCAAAATCAAAAGATACCTAATGAGATACATATTTCTCTAATTGGCTTATTTCTTAAAAGTCAAACATCAAACCAGGGGCCTGCTTTTGGAGCTGGGAGAAAATTATGTAGTTGCAAATGATGTAACAGTAACAAAGGTTGATACACCTATCACTTGTCTCTTCTGCACTACCTGAAAAATACTGTCCTTACTCAAGACCTGTTGCTTGTGTGCTGAGTTCTCTAATTCAAGATGTTAGTGGCTAAAACAGTTAGTTCAAGCTAGTGCATTGCTGTTCTGACAAGTTGCTCTACAGATACTGTTTGTTAATTTAGGCTGTTTGACTCTAAAGTTGTATACAAGAATGCATTTACACTTGGTTGAAGAAATACCAAAGCTACTTCTGAGATCTAAGCGCTTTGAAGCATCCTGTAGCAATATTTGCAGGGCTACATTCTATAAGTCAGTGCTAGCTCATGGAACCTCAGGAGCCTCACTCTTTTGCACATTCTAATTGTGTTTGAAAATATAATTATTTGCAGAAAAGCAAGTAAATTAGCAATTTACTATTTCGTTAAAAATTAGTTATTAATCACTTTATATTAACTCACTCAGAGAGCACAAAAGGATGAACTGGAAAAAATCGAGCAATATTATCAGACTTCAAAAGAGGAGGAACTGAAGCTTCTGGATAAACCAGAACAGTAAGTTGTCTTTTTTTTCTTACTATTTTATTGCTATGTAGTGTGTGGTCCTTGGGTGATATGTTTAAAAAGGATTTTGATACAGTTTTTTGCTAGTTAATTTTAAAAGCTTTTCTGTATTTCAAGCATGACGTGAAGTTTGTATTTGTCACTTTTTCCAGACATTCACAGGTATACTAGATCTACCTGAGCATCAGAACTTATTAAATATGCAGTCTTGATTCAATAAAAAATTCTATTTCCATTCTCTCATTTATAAAAACCTTGATTTAAGGCAAAATTAGCATCCCGTGAAAGCAGGGCCAGACTGATTTTTGGTTGTTGATACTTGGAAGATCTCCCCAGATAGAGGGTTTTGGAATGTCATAGAATCAGAATCATAGAATCGTAGAATGGCTTGGATTGGAAGGAACCTTAAAGACCATTGAGTTCCAACCCCAGTGAAGCAGGATCATTCATATATATATGAAAGTAGGTAGGCATATACTTTTCTGCCCCTGTTAATATGGAGGTAGTGATATCCACTTGTTCCTTTTGCTCTTTAGAATTACAGTGGTGCTCATGCAAATCTTGTAAGAATGAGAGCAAAATATTGTGCAGTTCCAAAGAATCAAAGAACCATAGAATGTCTTGGGTTGGAAGAAAACTTAAGGATCATCCTTATCCACATTGTGAACAGGGCTCCACCTACTGGATCAGGCTGCCCAGGATCCCCTCCAACCAGACCTTGAATGCCTTCAGGAATAGGGCACTCACAGCGTCTCTGGGTAGCCTGTGCCAGAGGCTCACCAATTTCTGTGTAAAAAATGTCCTCCTAAGATCTAATATAAATTTCCCCTCTTTTAGTTTTAATCCATTCTCCCTTGCCCTATCGCTATCTATCTGTGTAAAAAGTCCTATGCTCAAAACAAAATCTACGCTTAAGATAAACTGATAGAAGACCTGATGATTTCACAGTTTGTCCACTGTGACTTTTGTGAGCAGTGAGAAACGTTGGGATGAAATGATTTTTAGGTGTTGCTCTTGCTGTTGTACACTGTTGACCAATGTAAAAATCATAAAATGGTAGTTCTGAATTCTATTTTAGTGCTTGTATTTAATTTCAGATTTAAGCCTCACAATGGTGTCTGTCTTCTATTGTTTTGCTGCTTTTCCCTATTTTTTTTCCCTATTTTTCCATCCTCTCCTAATCACAGCAGTTTACTTTGATTTCTCCGCCACTTTGTACCTTTTCTCTCTCTTTTTGTCTTTTCTTCTCTCTTTGAGAGAGAAGAAAAAAAAGAGGTAAGAAATTTTTAGTGCTCCTTAAAAGGAACATCCTTTCTGAAAACTCAGCAGTTCAACTGCTGCTGGTTTAGTTGTCAAAGTCAGCCTCTAAGTCAGCCTAAATGTCAAATTGGAGTTTTATTGGAACTGTGTATGCATATTAACTCCATAAAATGTTAAAGACAGAAAAATGCAAAATTGTAGGGATGGTTAAAATAATTTGCTAGGGGACGTAAACCTGATGTGTTTAGTAAGGATCAGAACAAAAAATGCAAAGTAAACTTTTCATAAATGGTTGTGAATACTAGCCATTCACATTCATATACTGAAAACATTGACTTGAACTCACTAAAGTCTTACAGAAGCCATTGCCGTTTTAAAATGGCTTGGATTCACAAACAAAAAGAAAGCATTACTGGTATCACTAATGCTCTCCTGCACATGTGATTTTGATCTGTTTTATAGCATATTACACTTGCTGTTGTTGGCACAATCTGTAAATAAATCTCAGCAACGTGACAATATTCCCCTAACTTATGCTTCATAATAATACTTATTAAAATGCTAATATTCATTAGCACAATAAAAAATTATATGAATATAATATGGATAATGGCCACAACATGGGGCTTTCCTAGCAGGATACAGATGCTTTAGCTTGTTTCCAAAAAGATCCTGTTAGTTATAATATAATCTCTGAAGTCTTTGCTACTGTGGAAGAAATAACAATTAAGGAAATGGTAGCAAAATATGGTACTGAACAGTTCTGTTTTATATGTAGTTTTAATTCAGAAAGTAGTGGACTATTAATAATTGCAAATAAAATGAAGCTTTCTGTCCAGTTAATGCTATTTGGTTGACTTTTGCACACGAATAACTTCTATTTACTTCAGTTTAAATCCAACTGTTTTCCTTAGGAGTTTGAATAATAAGATGCAACTTTTTCTAGCCCACCAAAATTTCTTAATTTTATATTCCTCAAATCTGAATAAATGTGAGCTGATGTATAGTTTATGACCATAGAAACAGCATACTTTATTTCTCTTCTGAAATAATATTTTGTTATACTAACTACATGAAAATATGCAGGACTTTGAAAGTACTTTCAAGTCTTCTGTTATAAGGTTCTGGTAGGATAAAAGAATTCTAAATGAATGTATTTTTTATTTACAATTTCTGCAGGAGTAAATGGACCTCACACAGATGAATTACAAAATCTCTGTTTTCTTTAGGCAATGAAAATTGTAGCAATGAGAATCCATAATTATGTGACAGTCATCTCATTGTAACTTTAAGTCGAAAGCATACTTTCCTCATTTTAAAATTCCAAAACTGATTGAATTAAAAGTATTCTTTTTTTTCTGAAAAAGCTCTGTCCACATGAATGTGGTGGTTTATCTTTGATAGCCTCAGGTTTAGTAATTGCGAACATAGATTCCTCTTTGTGATATATTTTGGTTACAACTGTTCAGTCAGGATATTTACAGTGAATACTTTGAATTCCAAAATCTGGATACATTTTCTTGTTATGCTAAAGGTTTTAATTCTCAGCATAGTTCTGTAGTATTCAAAGACTGGAAAAGTAAATGAAAGTCCCTTTTTCAAGGAAAGACAAGAAAAGAAAATGCATTATTTTGATTTTTAAATGTAAAATGTTGGAATGTATGTATGTCAGAACTTTTGTGGAGCAGTTGGGGCTTTTCTTCCTTTTGTTTTTCTCACATGGATTACTTATAAAGTATCCTCTTTTTTTTCTTTTTTTTTTTCTTTTTCTTTTTTCCTGGCAATACCATTCATTCCCAATAGGAAGCATTTTTATTAATAACAGCTTGGCATTTCTTTTTTTCCCACTGCTTCAATGCAGGAGCCAAGGCTGGCCTCCCCAGTCCTTCTTTCAATGGATTTTCTCATAAGGCAAGAAAGAAAAAGGAAAAATGATAGCTAGTTTCACACCATCCACAGGTGGATGTTACAATTTTTTTTACACACTCACTGTGTATTGAGCAACGTTGCACGCATTAGGCATTGTAAAATATATTGATATTAGTTATTATAAAAAAAGAAATAGTTTGAAGAAATCAGATGAATTGCTTTAAATAATTAAAACAAATTTAATAATAATTCAAGCTAATAGTAGTTCAGTAAATGTCCCAGAGTTCAGTAAGGTAAAAGAATCCTTAAGCCATCACATTAAAGGGAATCTAGGAATATCTGTAGACAGGAGAATACAAGAATTCTTTTGTAGTGATATTGGACCTAAAGATTTCCTCGTGTGTTTCAAAAAAGCAAATGTAGAACTGAAATCCTTGACACAAAACCCACAAAGTAAATTATGCAAACCTTGTTATTTTAAGAAATGTTAAAGTTTCTTGTATTATTTAGTCTAACTCTTAAATTTTAAATTAAAGAAGCAAAATGGAAATAATTGTTTGTATCTTTGAGTGCTTTTGTTTTGTGATATTTGACCTGAAATTGTTAAATATACTTTTATTTATTTTTATTTAAAGAGCTAAAAGAAAAAAAGCTGGAATAGTCATGAGAAGAGTGGGTAGATGAGTAGGAATAATGAACAGAAACAGAAAGTAACTTTACTGAACAGTGGAGAGATGGATAATTTGCTAGTATTTGAGAGTTAAATACACAGGTATGTGCATTACAATAAAGCAAGCTGCTATATAATTGGAAGCATGGTGCAAATTAGTAAAAGACAATTGTGATTGAGCATCAGAAGAGATTTCTTGGTAGACATTCTGTATTATGAAATAACTCTGTAAAAATATGTTGAGTTCTGTATTGCTGGGCATGTTTTTAAGTGAAGCAAAAAGCACACGAGTAAAAGCAGTAAATAGATTGTGATTCCCTAGCCTTTTTTTTTCTTTGTGTTATGATTCCTCTTGTTTGCTAGACATGACATTTGTGATAAATAGTGGGTTAGTGTCATAAGAGCCAGTGTCTTGCATTTTTCTTCATATAAATAGGACCGCTAAACACACAACATAAAAAACACTAAGCATAAAGAATATAGCAATTATAAATTCTGTGAGAATTATTTTGACAGATTGTTGAACATTGCAGGTATGTATTTTATAGTACAACAGTTTTAATTCATTATGTACTTCACAGATATGAAATGCAATGATTCATTGGTATTCTTCTTTGCTGGTTTTTTTTCGCAGATTTTTATACGAATTATCTCAGATCCCCAATTTCACAGAACGAGCTCAGTGTATTATTTTCCAGTCAGTTTTCTCTGAAGGGATAACATCAGTTCACAGGAAAGTTGATATCATAACTCGTGTTTCCAAGGTAAGTCCTAATGGGAAACTAAACAAACGGTATTATATCCTGGCCAGGATGTTACTTTATTTTATTTTTTATTATTTATTATGTGAACAGTGTCTTTTGAACAACTTTTCTGCCATAAGCTACCCGTGCTCTATCCCTACTTTTATCCATATTTTTGCACATTCTGGTAATAAAAGTAGTTACTTAGTGTTACCTTTCAAAAGGAGACATAAATAAGAAAGTGGCTTTATTTGAGATCAGGAAAGAGGCATTTCTCTCAGTTTACTTAAAAAGAGCTCACATGACAATTGATTTTTTTCAGTGAGAGTCAGATTCAGATCTTGGCTGATAAGATAGATGTCTTCGTATGGAAATTAAAATAATTTATTAATTCTTCACTGTGTTTCTAGATTTCATTTTTCTTTTAAGGCATTGAAATTTTGTCCTTAACCCTGTCACATCTGCCCTAACTATGAACTGAAATGTGGATTTTCAGAGCATGAGAACCAATGAGAAACAGGCTGAATATGACCAAGTCTAACCCAATGGCAGCAAAAATAACATATCTTCATTTGACTGCATTGTGTAAACTCATGACAAACCATTTTGTCTCTAAGATTTTTTAAAGGGTGTTTAGTAATCTATAGTGAAACTTCCTCCATTAATCTTTTTGTCATCTGCATAGTATATAATGGTATATAATTTACCTCATGTGGATTAAGTTAAAGATAGTATCTTAGGCGGCTTTAGTCTAATAAATTCTTCTCTTAAATATTTGATTCATATACCAGTTTTAGATTCTTTTCCTTGTAGCATACATGAGAAACAAAACATTGTCTAGCAAAAATAAAATTTAAAAAGCTTTGTCATATGAGCAATTAAGATTTCTGTGCCAACAGATAATTCAGACTAGTATCCGTTTTCCAGGCTTTGCTGAACATGACGAGTGTAAAGGAGATTTTAGGTTTGATTCTGGCATTTGGAAATTACATGAATGGTGGGAATAGGACTCGAGGTCAAGCTGATGGATTTGGTTTGGAAATACTCCCCAAACTAAAGGATGTCAAAAGCAGAGTAAGTACTCATTTTCTCTTAAGAACTACTTAAATTATCTCCCTGTCAGAAGTTAATCTTGTCTCACTTCTTACCGTTTTCTGCTTGAACGAATGAAGCATTTTTGTACTATATTCTAGTTTCTTTCTCTCAAGATTTTATCTTTTTCTTCTGCACATATGCATGTCTCCATCATCTCCTATTTCTCCTGTTCAATACCACTAAGAATATGAAAACTTTGTGTCTATTTTATTAGTGGAAACTTAAGTACAGTACGGAGAGAAATGTGAGAGAGCACAGGCCACTAAAGTTGTCTCTGACAACTGTCCCTTTTTTGTCTTGTTCTTATGGTAGGTGCATATGAGTAAAACCTTTTCAAGATCAGGTTTAAAAAAAGAATATCAGGAAGAGTTTTCTGTGTAGAGTATACACAAAACAAGTACATATAAAGGATATAAATATATAAATTAGAGGATTTTAATTCACTTCAAAAAGGTGTCTCAGATCCAACAAATTATTTTCAGACTTTTTTTTTTCTTTTTTTTTTTTTTTTTTTTTGTATTGGCTGTAAAATGGATGTAGATCGTGAATTCTGAATGGCGTGCAGAAGATAACACTTAGACATGGCAATAAATTACTTTGTCAAAAATTGAAAACCACTAGCCCATTTTTGGTCAGTTATGTTAGACTCAAAACAAGGCTCCCTGAAAGTGTGCCCACCTTTTGAGATAATGTTAACTTTCACTGGGGAAGATGACGAGGTACTAGATAATCTAGACAATGGAAACACCACTCAAAGATCCATGCCTGCCAAAGCATACCTGGATGCTATGTGGATAAGGAAACTACCAAAGAGTAGGAGTTATTTTCTGCTATTGTTGGTACGGATTTGGAGGCTGAGAAAAAACTAGTCTGCAACTCTTCCGCTTTTTTTACTTGAAGTGCTGTTCTGAATTATAAGAAAGTTACAGTTTAAGCTTTTGTTCCCAATTATGCTGGATGTACATAGAAGTGCTCTCAGTTTGGGAGACAAGCGTTATCAAATAAATAGTATGTCTAGGGAGCTTTTTGTATTTCTTCTGTGAGTACCTTCACTAGCAGAGTATGAAAACGAGGTTTAATAAATTGTTCAGTGTACCAGAAATTTATGGAAGTTTTTTTCAATGTATTTATGTCTTCCGTCTCCTAACTCTTACTTTCCTCGTCACCTCAGTTATTCGGTTGTCCCCTATAACAACTTTTCTTCTGTCCTACTCCATGGAGGCGATGCGTGGGCTGTCTTTAGCTGCTGTTTAGCTAAAGAAGCTTAAGGCCAGCTTCTCGGTGTTCATGTGTTCATTGGTCAGCCAGCTGCCACAAGGAAAAAAATTAAAACTGAACTTTGCCTGACTTTTGTAAGATGAAGTACTAGTTTTAGTCCCCCTTTTCTGTAAGAATTTTGTCTTCTCTGGGACTTTCCAGTTTGGCCGGGTTTAGTTAGCATGCTCCAAAATTATGAGTTATGAAAAGGAGTGACAGATGTACAGTGTAACTGTATGAGACTTGTTCCTTAGCAAAACAAGATAAAAAATTACAGTACTTATAGTTTTTTTTGGTAGCCAAAGTAAATACATTATTAGTTTATATTACTGTGAAGAATGGGACTAGTCTGCAAAATGCATAAAAATTCACAGAGACCAGCTGCTATAGGCAGACAACTGGGGACTGTACTTGCATGAAAGAATGGAGGGTCTTACACATTTAACAGTGTTGTGTCCTTTTTTGGGAATTGTCAGCAAAAAATGTGATTACTAGGAAGCTAAATTCAAGGAGCTAAGGTAAGCTGTCAAAGTTTAGTATCTTTAATTTAACATAAAGTTTTTTTGTTGTCACATGAGCCAAGTACTTGATACAGAGGTTAAAAAAATCATAGCTCACTTCAGAATCTCTGTATTTTGTCTTCTAGAAGCACTGTTTGATCTAAAGTGATAGGTTTCATAGTTTAACATAGAAACTAGAACAACAAGCATATTTTTCTTTAGAAGGGCAATCAAATATTCATAAGCCACCTCAGTTCGTTCTTGTCACTGAACCTGCCAGCAATGTAATGCCTGCAACTGCTAGATAAGCAGAGTAGTTTTTACTCATGACAGCAGTGACTTAGTTATGCTTGTGTATGATATTATTAAGATGTGGTGTGTTGCAGGCTGTAATGAAGGTGAGACAGCCTCATATATGAGGCTAGACATTGTTCACAAATGTTTGTACCAATAGCTGTCAATATGGAAAATCTGTCAATATGGAAAATAAAAACTACAAAAAGAGAAATTGAAGATATCCCAGTTATAATTCCCTTTATTATAATTATTTAATACTGTTGAATGATATACTGTAAGGTATAAGATCCAGTTTTACGTTTTTTCTTTAGTTGATCTACCTTATGCTACCAACAACATACAGCAAAACAAAATGTATGGGTTGTTGCATGCAGGACCAAGGAAATGGAGATTCCAAAAAGAGAGCATTAAAATTCATGTCCATAACCCAAGAGGGCAGGAAATATACTTGTCAGGTACATGCTGTCTGGTTTTATGTTTGGAGTAAAATATGGCTCCGTCCATTCCTTCATTAATCATACAACATTTAACATTTGTATGAATCCATAACCCCTTTTTAATATTCTGTTTTTTCCCCTAGGATAATCGTATTAATCTTGTGGATTATGTTGTCATATATTACCTACGCCATTGTGATAAGGTAAAGGACTCATTTGCTGTATATGCCTCTCTAAAAGTGGATTTTTTAATATTTTTTTTTTTGTCTAATGCAAAAAATAAAATCTATTTTCTTTAGCTTTTTGCAATAGCTTTGGACCTCAATAGGTCTGAAATTTACTGTGATAAAACTGTGGAAATTCTTACATTAACTGTGGAACTATACTTTGCAAGCAATTGTCTCTGACTGTTGCAGGCTGTACAGGTTTTCACTTCAATCCCTTCTTCTTGTTATGTTCTGGTTACTGTAACATTGCAAATTTTGTTTTGATGCAAAAAGAGTGGGAGACAAGCATGATTTCTCTCTTATGACAGAATATGATGGCAATTTAACCAAGGTGTCCTGGTTGAAAGAGATGAAGTTAGAGATCAGAATGTAGGAATGTAAATGTTACCCTTGTACTTTCTTTTTTCCCTAGGCATTCTTATCTTCCTAACAATATAAGTGTTTTTTCACTTTTCACAAAACACTTTTTCTCTTACCTATGATTTTTCCTTTATTTCAGACTGAAATCTGTGTACTGTGTACTTTAAACCCACTAGTCTAAGATTTTAATGTTCTTTTAATACCACTTCTACACTTGAATTAATGGATTTCCCCCGGAGATACACTTTAAATCTTGTAATGTTGCTTGTTATTGTTTTTCCACTTCTGAAATACTTTAATTTTTCTAAAATAATATATATGCTTATGAATTCCATAAAGGCATTAAACTATGTGATTTATTAAGCTGAATAGACTTTCAACTATATATTTTTTATCTGTCTAAGTGCTCCAGGCAATATGTAAATATTGTTTTCAATTTATCCATATAAAGTGTGTATATATCTAATGAATTGGGAAAGAGTGAAACCACAAACTTCTGGCATAAGATCACTTGTTCCATTAAAAAAGGCATTCATGTTATCTTGTTTTAAGAAACTTATAATCCCATAACTAAACTTTTAGTGATATAAAATGAACTGAAATCTCAGGAGCTCAGTGTTGCTTCATAGTTTAAACTGAACAGTTTGCATAACATCTAACGGGAAGTTTCAACATTCAGAATGGTCAGGATTTTACCTGAAATTATATTTATGCTGTTTTGGGAAGAACTATTTAATTTTTTTAATTATTTTTTTTAATTTTTTGCTGTTCTATAGATGATGTTTCAGAAAAGTAATTTATTTCACTGCAAATGCATTTAATTTTCATAGAGGCCTATTTGTTTGTTTGTTTAGGAAGCAGGAACAGACAAGAGTATTTTTCCTTTACCAGAACCACAGGATTTTTTCCAGGCCTCCCAAGTTAAGTTTGAAGACCTAATAAAAGACTTAAGGAAGCTGAAGAAAGACCTAGAAGGTAACTGGCAACTTTCACATTTGTTCTGCAAACAACTAAGAGCCATTTAAAATGTGATCTTTATGAGGCTAGCTTATTGCTAATTAGGTTTATAGTGTTGATTGTAGTGTTTTTACACTGTGGTAGAAAGTAACCACATAAAATAGAAAAAAAAATTTTGAACTCATGACTTAATAAAAATGAAAGTACAAATACCGTAAAGTAATTTTCTGTAATTCCCTTTTACAATTCATATATCCTTAAAGAAATCTTTCTGAAATGTTATGTATTATTTTTCCTCTGGCTTCTCCATAGCTGTGTGTTTAAGTGTAGATATCTGCTAGGTTCATAACAAATACTTTCTTCACTACTTGTATAACAACAATTTAACAGCTTCAAGAAAGAGTTGAATTAGTGTAGAAATAAAACACATCTTGCCAAGGCATAGCAAAGGGAAATTGAAAGCTCTGGTTCAAAACATTTTCACCCTGGGACATAAAATAAACATTTTAAAATATTTATTATAAACAGGGGGTTCAAAAACCCAGCTCATCTATCAATCAAGGTATTGAGTGGATATAAAGTAGGAATGGTTGCTCTTTAAGTATTCCAAGCAGTTTCATTTTTATTTTGTGATTCATATGACTCTTAAAAATAAATCCAGTAAAAGGTGACTGGATATTTTAAGCCTATCATTTTTGCTAAGGAAATTTCCTAGTTTTACTGAAGCAGTTATGTGTAGAAAATAGAGATTAGAGACAGAATCTGTATAAAAAAAGCTTATATTAAAAAAAAAAAAAAAAAGCTTCTCCATTTACAATTAGATAACGTCTGCATCAAAATGCAAGCGTACTTTTAGAGTTAAAGTTGATTTTTTAATGTAAGGCAATGAAAACCATTACAAAATATATTATCCTTACAGTTAGGAATGGCTGGGTTAGGTCACTGCCATCTTGGGATAGTTTCAAATGTTGACAGTGGTAGGAAAGTGTCAGTTGTTTTTTTTTTCGACCCAGGCATAAGTGAGTGCTCTATCTCCTCTCATCGCTTGGCCCTGTAAAACCCTTGGCCTGCCCTCTGTTGGGCTAGTTTGTGCAGAAACATGATCTGTGTTTGATCTTGTACTTTATCAGCATATAGTCCTGCTGTAATGCATCTTAGTCTTGCGGGATCTGCACGGAGGCTGTGACATTCACATCGTATTTGCTCTACGCTGCAAAGACAGAGACAGGAAAGAGCAAAAGCTAATGTACTTCAACTCACTTACAAAATAAGAATTGTTGCTTTCTTGTTATCACTGACTTGTTTTAACATGTTTTCTTAGATATCCAAAGACAATGCAGAAAATGTGTTGCACTGAGGTTATTTTCAAAATTCTTCTTTGAAAAGATACAGTTGAAACCCTGTCAAAGCAATTAACATATAAAGCTAACGACAGCAAGAATTTGAAACAGAAAAGGTTGTGGAAATGTTCTCAGATGTTGGTATTTTATCAATCAGAAATATGCAGCAGAATTCTAACAAGTATTCCTGTGAATAATTTCTCTTACATTTAAACAAAGAAGCAATCACTCATATAAGAATGTTGTATCTCTTTCAAACATTCCCTCTCTTTTTTTTTCTCTTCAGATAATGCTACAGTTTATTTTTAAATCAAAATTTTAATTGAAGAGGTTATAATTTTAACACGTTCAACAAAGATTTGATGAGTCTCTGTAGTTTATTGTAGCCATTAAAAAGTTGTGGTTGCTGGCAGAATACCAGTGAAAGTCTAAAGCTGAAACAGATGTGAGTACCAGAAACCAAGTCCAGAGAAGCGTCGGGCCCAGCTATCCAGACAGGCGCGGCCCTTCAGATGTAAATAATTTGAACAATATTAACTGGCGCTGCCTGTGATATAGGGTACATTGGATTTATTTCACAGTATGGTTGGCTAAGGTAGTCTTAAACAGCTTGCCATGGAAGCGAGATGAGGCAAAGATAATAAATGGAAGAGGTTTTCTTGTGTGTGTTTAGGGAACAAACTAATTTTCCTGTTAGTGATTTATTTCTGAGATTTATACAAAATGATTAAAAACAACACAATTGTCACCTGCTGTGCCTGAAATAACAATTTTGGTAGAATCTTTTTGTAGTAGTCATCACTTAGTACTTAAAATTTTTAAGTACTTTTCAACTTTTAATCATCTATATTAACACACGAAAGACTGGAGATTCGTGAGAGAAATGCATGTCTTCATAGTCTAAACCTTAGGTGTGCAATACCTAGACAGTCTGGAACTGAGAGTTCAGATGACCTAGATGAGCAGAAAACCTTTCATCCATTTCAGATAAACAGTTTGAGTTACATACAATTTAGTATTTTGAAGTCCTTTAGATTACACTTTAAGGAAACAGTGCAAATGAAATTTTGCCTTGGAAATTTCAACTTTTTTTTTTTTTTTTTCTGAGAACCTTAATCCAGCAAGTTTCTAACACACATTCCAGAACAAACTTTGTAGTTCTGAGCATTTTCAGGTTAAAAAGGATAATAAACAACAAAGTTTAATGTATCTTTTTAAGGGGAAAGAAGTTCAAAAGGATGTGATGGGAAATTGTGAGATAGCAATTATAGGCTGAAACCTGGTTTTACTCTAAAGTCCTAGGAAAAAATGTTTGCTCTAGGGTCAGGATTTCACTACAGGTCTATCAATGGATTTCCAGAATCCTCAAGTACTGTGTAGTAGTATAAGCGAATACATTTATTCAATTGATAGATATTAGCTTTCCAGTTAATTTTCATGTTTCTGAAAACAAAGGTTTTTTTCTGTATCAATTTTTTTGACCATAATATATCTTACTCCTTGTTTAAAGAGTTTGTTTGATGTCCCATCAAGTAGTGTTCAAGGCCAGATTGGATGAGCCCCTGGGCAGCCTGCTCTAGTATTAAATGTGGAGGTTTGTGGTCCTGCATGTGGCAGGGGGGTTGGAGATTCGTGGTCTTGAAGGTCTCTTCCAACCCTGGTCATTCTGTGATTCTGTGTAAGGAAAATATTACCATTTTTTCATTTCTGTATGATCAGATATTTCCTTTCTAGTTTGAACAGTATCACTTGATTAGTATTCTTCTGAAAGAAGCATGGAATATTTGAAATGTGTAGTCATTCTTATGAAGATTTTTAGAAAGCAGATCTCTTCACCAAAGACTTGCATATGTTTTACCGTGAACGTGGAACAGATTCTAGCTGCCGTTTTCACACTACCAATTTTTTAAATGCTGTATATGTTTTAACTTTTTTAACTTAAGAGTGTGCATTAAAAAAAAAAAAAAAGAATTTAGAAACAAGACTTACTGGATCAGCTATCTTTAATTATCAGTTGAATTTCAGTTCTCCAGGAGACATCATTTGGAGCTGCAGCTGCAGTCCTCAGATCATTTTGGCTGATCTGTATCTTAACAACGTATATTATTCCCAGCTTTCCCACTTTTAAGTAATGCACAAACTCATATTTTAAAATTGTTTCATCCTTTTAGAAAATCAATACAAAATCCTTTTCGAAAAATCAAAGGGTAAGCTAGCAAACCATGCTTAGAAAAAAAAAAAGGAGAAACATTTTCACATTGTTTTTCTTAGAGAAGCATTACAAATGTCTTAAATTTGTAGGCAAATAGTAGTTGGAAAGTACCTCTGGAGATCAACTAGTCCAAAATCTTTGAGCAGGACTAACTTCATATTCAGTTCCATTTGTGTTGGACTTCACTGAGCTCAGTTTTGTGTCTAAGGATAGAGATTCCAACACATCTCTGGATACTTGTTCCAGTGTTGAACAACTCTGTGGACTTCTTGCAAAGAAATAGATGCATTTTGCTGGATGTACTTGGCATAGGGTTGCTGTACTGGTACCAACATCATGGCTAATTAACCTCGTCTCTCAGCAAGTCTGACTAGACTAGTGATTACTATGCTGTTGTATCTACATTATTGTCATTCAGTGCCTCCCTCAGGGAGCTCTGTATGACATTGGAACAGAATTTAGAAATAAGAAATTGAAAAGGGTCACTTGTTCTCAATTCTTGCTGCCACTGTCACTGTAAATAGAGCAAAGAATGAAGCTGCAAAAAAGAAAAATAATCAGTTCATGCTCATTTAAGACTGAAGTGTTCAGTTTTAATCATTTTCTGATTAAAAAATTTGAAAAATATTTATTTTTATCAAGAATTATGAGGAAATATATTTATCAATAGGAACATACAAATAATAATAATAAAATAATAGCATAAAACCACAGAAAAGCTTTATAAGTGTCTTAGCACATTAAAATTCTTAAATGTGTATATTCCCTTGGGAGTCTTCAAAATGATTTAGAAAAAACAAAAGTTTGCAACAGTACGTTAATGAAGTATAAGCCTATTTTGTTCTTGAAAGTAATTGACATTTTCAGTTAATGAATTGAGAATTTTTCAGCTTTTATTAAACTTCTGTATAAGCAGAAATGGAAAAATTAATTGAATATATTAACATTTGTTCACACAGAATCATACATTTAATTCATATGAAGTATTGTATGCATGAGAACAATCTGTTTTATAGAATAGTTTTAGTATAATTATAATACAATAACTATCAATAGAATTATGATTATAAAGATGAAAGATACTGTCTATGGTTCTATTTGTTTTAAAGACAGTCAGGTTAATGAATTGCAATGAGAAAATTCTATACACTATATCAGCTTGGTTAACTTTCTGAATAATTTCTTGGATCAAGAGATATTTTTTGCCAAAAGCTGATTGTTAATTCATTACAGAAGGACTTCATTCAAAAAATTATTAAAGGCCCTTTTCAAAAATACATTTAACAGATTGATGCCTTAGACTAATTTAAATGAAGTGTTTTAAGTCACTTTAATAGTAGGGTTTAGACATCTGAGTTGCATACATTTTTGGAAAAATTGTCCCAGGATGAGCAGGAAAACTGAATTGTTTTCCAGAAACCAGTAGCTCTTGGTTATATATATATATATATATATATATATTTAAT